TTTGTAAATGGGCACGTTGCTTTGACTACAATCTCTTATCACACCTGAACAAAACTTGCCTGGACACATTCCAATCGTCACAAGCTCGGACAGGGCGTAGTTGGCAGCAAATGCACAGTGAGTATGCAGGTTCTCGCTACATTAGTATGAAATAATAGGTTGTATATTTAAATGTCAGTTTGAGATAATATTAATGAGCAAATGTTCATTTTCTTATATGAATAACATTGGTAGAGTCAATGACTGAAAGATGACATGAGTGTAGGTAATGGGGTATTGAGTGTGTTGAAACTGTTACATTTTCTACATCTGACACAACAAGGGATCTGAGGTTGTTGAAGCTGTTTCTTGAGTGTATGGTCACCAGTATGTTGTTTTAAGAAGTAGCGACTAACATTGGGGTCAGATTTTACGTTGGCTTTTGAGTATGAACACAATGCTTAGAGCGATGAGCTCTCCCAAAAAACATACTTCTGATTTTGTTTGATTTTATCAGATGAGTCATCGCTATTTAGTGCACGTTGGGATTTGAGGAGCTGGTTTTCAATATGGGTTCACTAAGCAAAGCGTCAAGTGGCACATTTAAAGCAATCGGCAGGTTATGGACAATTTTTATTATACCCCTGACCTGAAAGGGCGGGTATACAGTTATACCAAGGAATTCCATGTGTCCTTCCAAGAACATGTTTCTGTGTGACCTGTAACTTGAAAACTACTGCATAGATTCTTTCAAACTTGGTAAACACTTTCTATAACAATAGGAGAGGTGCAGTGCGAAGTTGGATTTCAATATTTGGATTTTCTGAAAAATAGAGCTATTTTTCATTCTTTGACTTACAATTTCTTTAATGAAACATTTGTGCGACCTATATCTGAAAAACTACAGTAGGGATTCTTTTCAAATTTTGGGAACATTTCGATACTAATAGAAGAGGTACAGTGCAAAGTTTGATTTAGCTAAGTGGATTTCCTGAGAAAATAATGGTTTTTTTAATGATTTGAACTTAGAAATATGTTGGAGTCAAAGTCGAAGGGGATTAGTTAGCCATGCTCATTTTGTCTTGTTTTCAATTCATTTTCAGGGTTTAACCTTGACTTAAAAAAGTGGAGGTCCAGGGTACTCTAAATGATCAATTTTAAGGGTTATTGCAGGCAAAATGAGGGTCCTGTAAAGTAATGAAATGGTGTAGTGCACAGTACGTTTGGATAATTACTTTTGAGCCTGAAATGAATTAATGATCATTAGTGGTGATGATTTATGTATGAGATGACAGACACCTATAACTGCTCTTGATGCACTGTAGGTACAATGAATATAATTGTGCGTCCTTCAGAACGCAGAATTTTTTTAACTTATCCTGCATTACTCCTCAATGCATTTACTCTTGACAAGAACAAAGCTGTGTGAAGTCTAGGCTGAAGAAAAAAGTTGTTCCAACCAGTTGTGAAGCTGATCCTCTCAGCTGCCACGTGACCAACTGGATTAATTTTTTGCACGGTAAGGTGGCATTTGTCACTGTAACATTCACATGTTTGTTGTTCCAATCCGCCATTTTGAATTACTAATGTAATTTCTTCAAGGCATATGATTATGTTCCTTTTTGGCGTGGTATTATAATATGTTTAAATACCTTTGAGCCTATGGTTTGCTTTTACAGTTTCATTCATTTAGTGTATTTATAATCCCTTTAATAAGATAAAAATGTGACTTTCTTATCCTTTATAATTCTTGTGAATACCTTACCTCTATTACATCATTGCCATAAATTCCTGTTTAAGCTGAGAACCACACTATAATATTTTTATAAATTTTCAACAGACGTCCTCTGGAACACACTCGTTTGGAGATGACATTACGCTGTGCCCCTGTATCAAGCTTGAACTCTACCTGTTTCTTGTTAATTGTCAGAGTTTCTTTCCAGTCCTCATTTTCACAATCTGACTCCAGCTTCCTATGAATGGTTGGTCAAAATCCTCAATTTCAGACTCTGAATTGTCAGCAACATGTACATGTCTGTTTTTGTTGTCAGGGCGGTCTCGTCTATCTGACATAGGCTGTCTTGCTTTGCACATACTTGCAAAGTGGTGTCTGCCACCGCACAAATTCTTCCTGCAGCTGGACATTTATCCTTCATGTGATTATAGCCACATGCCCTACATCTTGGATACTGTGCATTTCGCCTGTCTTCATGATGTCCTCTTTGCTTTTTGTCCTTCCATGTCTCATGTGTGCCTCCTCGTGCACAGCCTCGTGCATAAATGGCACGAACGTTTTGACTCCCTGTTTGTTCTTCACTCAGAACTTATAATTGTTGTGCACTTGTCTCAGTAGCCCTGCACAGGTCAACTGTACGAGTCAAAGTTAGGTCAGGTTCTCTCAATAAGCGCATCCTCATACTGTCACTTTGTACACCACAGACAATTCTGTCTTTAATTAACCCTTCGGTTAATTCAGCAAACTCACAGTTTTTAAAATCTGTCACATACTGGTCTATAGTTTCCCCGATTTTCTGTGATCTCGTGAAGAATGCATGTCTTTCTATAGTCAAGTTTTTCTTCGGTTGACAATATTGTTGAAACTTCTGTTTAACTGTCAAACTTTTTATCGTCACCTTCATTCGCCCATTCGAACGAATTGAATACCTGCACGGCCGATTCTCCCGCCACGTGTAGCAAGGTCGCACACTTCAGGGCCTCTGACTTCGCAGCGATTCCGCTGGCAGTTAGGTAAAACTCAAACCTTTGAAGCCATCGTTTCCAGTTCTCGGCTAGATTGCCTTCAAAACTCAGTTCATTTGGTGCTCGTAACTGCTCCATTCGGCCCAGTTTTCCGTGTTCACTTCACACCATGTAATATATTGAACAACAAGCATGGCAGGTTCATAGAATAGTTTACTACGTCATTCGATGTGGTACATGCGTGTTACGTCATCAATTACATACATGTGTATGACGTCACAGTTAACCCTTTATCTTACAAAAGGGATGCTAGATACCAGAACCCACCGGTCCCTCTGGTGTATACTGGCAATGACGTAATAGAGATAAGGTATTCACAAGAATTATTAAACAATAGTTATCATTGTGAATAATTCTAAGAATACTACCTCTATTACATCAGGAATTAATCCCTCCCACCTCCCCAAATATCTGCATCTAGTTGATGAGGATAATGGGTTCAAAGAAGTGAGGAGATTCCCGCCTTGCTCATGTGCAGTGGCGCCCCTGGCGAGGGATAGGGTTTCCCTCACAACTATTAGATATGTTGGCAGTGAAGAGGACGTCTGTTGAAAATTTATACAAAATTTATAGTGTGGTTCTCAGCATAAACAGGAATTTATGGCAATGAGGTAATAGAGGTAGTATTCTTAGAATTATTCACAATGATAACTATTGTTTGATAATTGGGTATTCTTGGACATTGCAGTTTCTACTTAATTCTAGATTTATGCTTGCTTGTTTTGTCTGTTGCCATGGTATTTTCTTCTTAGTAGCTGTTTCCACAGTGGCTTGAATGTACACAAATTTGTATGCAAATCTGTACCAGGGGATTGAAGTGTGATCTTTGTTTTCCCTTTTCAAGCTTTAACAGGTACCCCAGCTCAGTTGACAATACTTTTTATTGATGTTTTCAGCGGAGTTTTTTCCCTTCAGGGCGTTTGACGCATCATCAGTGTTAGATTTGTCTCTGGACTCCTCAGCATTGCTTACGCCTCAGCGATGTCGGCGCCTCAGGACTCATCACTGATGTCCGCACCTCTTGCAGCCTTAGCAAATATTTCACCTCCAGACTCCTCAGCATTGCCTTTAAGCGATGTCTGCACCCCAGCGAAGCCAGTGACTTCAACTTCTCAGCGTTTAACTGCAACTCTGAAACCCTTAGCAATATCAGCAACTTAGCAATGTCTGCGACTCTGGACTCATCAGCGATGCCTCCCCCTCCCAACACCTCAGCGATGCTGCCACCTCCATGCTCCTAATGCTGTGTCTCCGGACTCGATATCGGCACCTCAGAGATAGATGCGCCTCTGGGCTCCTCATCGTAACCTGCGCCTCTGAGCTCCTCTGCGTTGCTTATGCCTCTGGGCGTTTCAGCGATGGCTGCGCTTCTGTGATCCTCAGCAATGTTTGCACCCCAGTGAGGCCGGTGCCTTCAGCGCCTCAGTGTTTAGATCAGCCTCCAAATCCCTTAGAGATGTCGGTGACTTCAGGTGCTTCAGCGCCCGGAGAGCGGAAGGTCTGGGGTTCGATCCCTGGCCGCGTCAGACCAAAAGACGTTAAAAGTTGGTACTTGTTGTTACCCTGTCTGGCACTCGGCATTAAGTGGCTAAAACAAGGATTGGTTGGCTCGGAGTCAGTATACTGTGTCTGAGTGGGGTATATTCATGTTAAACTGCGGCATGGTATCTCAGTGGGCTAGCACTATAAATTGGCATCAGTCCGGACTAGTACAAGCAGCCACACACACACGCTATATAAGTGCAATAATCTTGGACGCGACGTTAAACCCAATTTCACCTCACCTCAGGTGCTTCAGCGATACATGCGTCCCCAAGCTACTCAGCGAGGCTTGCGTCTTAGGGCTGCTCAGCCGGGCTATTTGGTAATGTCGAAGACTTGACACCAACTGTAGCAACACCTTTACACTTCTCCAGTGTCAAGTGCTTCAGTTTGATGTACAACCCGCTACTGCTACTAAAGTTTTCCTTGCGCAGTACAGCTGACGTAATGATCCCTGCCTTAGCTCTTCCGCCTCACCTCAGGACACATCTCAGATGAGGGAAGGTAGAGTCGAATGTCTTTGGAGGTGTCTCTTTAACAGAGTTTGTCACCAATGTCACAACTTGACAGTCACCATATCCATCTACAATATCGGTTGGGTGCTTGCTCAAACAGATGACAACACACACTCCTTCCAGGCCAGACAGGTTGGCCCCCACAGAGTGGAATTTCAATCCCAAGGCTTTTCCATCTCACATGTCAGTCTCTATGTCAGTCTAACATTGACCCCATTCCCACTTGCCAGAACTGACAGATCCAGACATATGTCTCCCCGACTCCGGATCCGCAGGCATAGGCGGTTGATGTGTCCAGGATCCCCGGGGAAGAACTCAAAACATATAGCCTTCTGCCACCTGTACTTCTCCCCAGTGAGATGCAGAAGGTCAAGGCAACCATGCACCCCATTTTGTTCTTTAACCGCGCCTTGTTGCCCACAAGAGGGTTGTTTGTAGACCTCAGAAGTCTTGAGGGAAGTGATCCACTAGCTCTACCAGGGTTGCCAAACCTATTCATCCATCTTGACAGCCGGTTGCCACACCCAACGCTACAGGTTTTACCTTCACACCTGGTTCATGTTAAGAGTGTTGGGCACTAAGGTTTATTTGGCGCAGTCAGTTAAGGCCATTGCTACGGTGCTCGTAACTTCGACCAGAAACCTTTACGAGGATAAGTAGCAACCCTACGAAATCCTTTTTGTAAAGGCAGGGATTGGGATCCCACTATAGCATCTCCTCAATTCTTGGCTGAATACCTCCCTTTCTGCATACCATGCTACACCTATGAGACAGCACCATTCCTACATAATTGGTGGTTTTCAACTCGGTGTTGGCAGTTCCAGAAGACCCAGAAGATGACCAAGACCCCAGTACTCCAGGCTCTTTTAAGGTCAGGTTTTGCCCTCCTGCATGGGATCTGATTGTGATACTTGGGTGTTTGCGTGTTCCCCTTGAGCCAGAATTTTCATTACAACTACTGGGACAGCCTGGCCGGTCTGTCACCATCCCACTATTATCATTGTTTGTGTGAGCCGAGGATGACAAGAAATTCTTATTGTGCCCTGAGTTCACACTGTGAGTTTACATCCGTCACTCCAAGACTGTCAGTTGTCTTTAAGACCTCCAAAAAGTAGCTGCAGATCTGTGCAATGTGATGCATTTAACGACTGCCGGGAACTAATGCAGAGTGAGGGCTACATCTGAAGGTTTAATTACCCTCTGCCATACTGTCTGATACAGGTGCATTTAGGAGTAATGCAGGATAATTTAAATTTTTTAGCAAAGTCTAAATATTTTTCCCATTTGTACTCGTATCTTGCATTACTTATAATGTCTAAGGACCCACCCATCGCAGACCTGCCTCCGCACGATATCCTCAGATGAAATTAAGTGTGACAAGCAGTTATATGAAGATTCCATGATGTCATCGTTTCCGGTTGATCACGTGGCAACTGTGAGAGGGTCGGCTTCACAACTGGTTGGAACAACTTTTTCTTCAGCTGGACCTCACACAGCGTCGTTTCTGTCAAAAGTAAGCAGTGAATGCATTAAAGAGTAATGCAGGATAAGTATATAAATGTAAAAAATATTTAGATTTTACTAAGATTCTTTTTCTGCGGCCAATCTCAACATGTGCACAAGGTAAGCATATTTGTGAGTCTCGAAAACCCTGTATTTTGTTTTCGGTTTCAAATTAATTCAAGGTGCTGAAGGATTATGAATAGAACTAAGAACTGTTCAGGAGGTTGTATACCTTTCTTATGCTTTTTAAAGCATGAAAGCTCAAGCTTCAAAGCTTTCAAATATCAAAACAATATTTATCATTGTTGATAATTCTAAGAATACTACCTCTATTACATCATTGCCGTGAATCTTGTATTTTGGCTGCAATCATACTAAAATTAAACTTTCAGATTTTTTTAACAGAAGTCCTCTTCACTGTCAGCCCTTCAAGGTACAAAGGCGAGAAAAACCTCACTTCTTTTTTTCCTGACATCAATCACTAGGGACAGATTATTGGGGAGGTGGGAGGGAGTACTTCTGATGTAAAAGAGGAAGTATTCTTTGAAATATCAACAATGATAGAGACAATAGAGCATGTACACTGAAAGGCAAAAGAAACGTCACTTCTGAAAATACTGATAAAACTTAACAGACACTGGCAGTTACATGTTCTGTGGTCAATAAACTCATTTAACATTCTTCTGCTTCTTTTTGTTGCCTTAAAGTCCATTTAACAATTGAGTTTAAAATGGAGTGCTTTGCCCAAACACAGCCTACAAAAGTGCAATGGGACTTGTCTTGTCAAAAACATGATGTATGGGTATAAAAGACACCCAAAACTGTTAAGCTGACTTTCGTTATTTCGATTCATCAGCCATGCCAAGATTATCAGGAAATGAGAGACATCAAGCGATCGGAAGACTGCAAGCAGGCCAGAGTGCACAGGTCGTTGCAAATGCATTCAATGTCAACATCGCCACAACACCACCAACACCACAGACGACCGACCGCGTAGTGGTCGTCCTAGAGTCACTACTCCCAGACAAGAATAGTTCATCATACGCCAACATCTGCAGAACCGATTCCGAATGTCCACTGAAACAGCTTGGCAAACCACCAGCGTGCCATCAGTGACAGTACAGTCTGACGTCGCCTAACTGCCAACAACATCTCGTGCCACCGTCCTGCTCATGTACCCATCCTGAGAGATCGTCACCGACAGGCCCGACTGCAATGGGCCAGGCAGCATCAAAATTGGCGTCAACAGCAATGGAGAAGAATCATCTTCACTGATGAAAGTTGCTACTGTGTTTCAACGGTGGATGGCCGAGTCAGGGTCTGGCGAAGGAGGGGTGAACGTTATGCTGATGCTTGTGTTATGGAACGAGACCCGCGGGTCGGACCAAGCATCATGGTTTGGGGTGGTATCGGACTGAACCAGAAAGTGGGACCTGTGGTCTTTCAGAATATTGGTCCAGGCAGGGGTAATGGCATCACAGCTCTCCGCTACATTAACCAAGTCCTCAGACCCCATATCGTGCCTTTTTTTGCCTGTCATCAAAACCACACCTTTCAGCAAGACAACTCCCGTCCCCACACTGCCAGAGTCACCAGGGACTTCCTCCAACAGCACAACATACAAATCATGCCTTGGCCTGCCCTCAGTCCCGATTTGAATCCCATTGAACACTTATGGGATGAGATCAAACGCCGACTCAACGACGTACGCCCAAGGCCGACAACTGCAGCAGAACTGCGTGTAGCGTTACTGAGAATATGGGCCCATATCCCAATGGCCTTCATCAACAGGTTAGTCCACTCCATGTACAGGAGATGTGTGGCTGTAGTCAACTCCCGTGGTGTCCACACCAGGTACTGATTTTGAACCCCCCAGATGTGATGTCTTCTGGTGCCTCCCCAAATTCACAATTCGCAAAAACATTCTCCAGACTGTTAATTTCATGTGGGTCAAACACTGCCTTTCTCCGATGTCTTTACTTACATATATAAGCATTTGAAAATAAAGATATTTATATGATACATCCACATGACGTTTCTTTTGCCTTTCAGTGTAGTTCAGAAACTCTGGCTGAAGTCGACATAGCTAAGAGGAAATCAGCTTTCTTCGCCTCGTGTAGCAGTGTAGTGTTTGCAAGGGACTAGAATGGTTCTGTTAGAAGAGCAGAAAGAACCAACAATAAAGAAAAGACTGGATGAGTCTATTCAAAATGGGGTGGTTGCTGAAAGAATATCTGTCCTGTTGAAGTACTGAGTGAAGGGCAAATCTATAGCCCTCAATTGTCACATGGCGGAACTTATCTTGTCGCAGATGTAGGAGAAAATCAGCAACCATTGGCATCATAACTTGGGTATCATCTAATTCTAATTGTCTTCCCCACTGGACGAATTTGTCCCATCTGTTGTCAAAAATACGGGAAGATGAAGGTCTCCAAGATCAAGCAACAGTGTAAGAGGCAGATTTAGAGAATCCAGAGGCTTGCATATTCTGCGAGATAATTTCCAGGCAGTTAGATGTAGAATGGTGAGATTGTTGTACAGTATGTCCGACCTGGATTGACATAGATCTCTGTGATGTGGTAAAGGTAGGGGATTTTCCATTAGAAGTGATAGTAGCCTAGGAAACCATGGACGCCCCGGTCAGATTGGTGCCATCAGAATGATCACGCCATGTGATAGTTCTATTTTCTATATCATCTTGTCCAGGAGAGCCCAAGGAGGGAATGTGTAAGTGAAGAGACCGGTCAAGCTCATGGACGGAGTGGCCAGTTGAGTGCAAATGGATCCTGTACTGGGCTGACATAAGTGGAAAGCGGATGATTGAGACAAGTTGCAAATAAGTCCAGGGCCCACTTGTACAAAGCGATCTTAGCGGTAAGATGATCGTAACTCCCATACTTTAACATAGACTTACAATAAATAGTCTTAGCGCTAAGATCGCTTAGTGCAAGTGGGCCCTGATGTGTAGTGTCCCACATCTATATGATTTGAACACATTTGGATAAATAGCCTGTTGTTTTTCTTCGATCCTGGTGTGGAAACATCCCAGAACAAAGTCTCCAGTTTCAAAAGCACAACTCACCCCAACACATCACTCAGTCATGCACCACTGCGATCTGATTACCTGACACATCCAGCACCCACATTCTCAATTCTATCGCATTGTGTCATAGAGGTATACCTTAACAGAGAATATGTTTTCATGTTATGGAGATGTCACGCCCCTTCTGCACAGATTGCAATCGCCTCTTTTCTACCCTTCACCCGCATCCTATTTGTTGTGATTGTGGTGGAGTGTGTGATATTGATACACGATGTCAGCAGTGTTACCCTGTAAGAATCGGCTTTCAAAACTTACCTTTGCAAGTGTTCAAAAAGGGCGGCTGATTGTCAGTTCAAGGCGTTGTGTAAAGATTACGAGCATGGTCCTTGCTCCGCAAAGAAACCCAAACGAATTGTGTTATCCCATGTTACTGTGCCTTCATTTTCTTGCAAAAAGAAAGAAGAAAAGTCTACTTCGGTGACGGTTACATTGCTTTCCATTGCTCTCTCACTTGTTTTTGACTGTCGACTTTCCAGCCTCTGTACGGACTACACACCTTGCAGCTCAATGAAACCTACAGCTGTCTCGTTTTCAACTGACCACCGGACTGTAATGTCGTCTGCCGCTTCACTAGATCGCCCTACTTAACCATTATCGACAAGTTGCCAGTCTTTGATGGACTACCATGTCTATCAGATCAGACCACTGAGGATCGGCAGATCGCCACTTCAACAGATCGATAACTGAGGATTCATCAACATATTGATACCTCAACAGATCAACACATCGATATATCAATACATTGTCAGATCAAGAACTTGTCCGCTCATGCGACTTTGCATGCTCAACACACAGATTGTCACTAGATTGTCATTCTTCCTCGGATCAATGCTTCTCTCAGGATCAACAGACCTCACATCGTGCTTTGGATTGTAAAAGCTCTCAACGTCTGAGAGATGATGTGCAACGTAGCTCCCAGACTTGTTCACCATCTTTTGACTGCAGGGATTCAACTGACCACCATAACCAAAGGGATGATATAGAGCTCGTTACAGCCAAGGTTCAGTGGATAGACAGGACACTCTCGGCCATCCACGTTCTTCCTCTTCTAAATATGAATGTCAGGACAATAGAGCGGTAAGCCGTCATGACACCTCGGGTCGTCATTCTTCTCGGGTCGTCATTCTTCCTGGATGATATAGAGCTCGTTACAGCCAAGGTTCAGTGGATAGACAGGACACTCTCGGCCATCCACGTTCTTCCTCTTCTAAATATGAATGTCAGGACAATAGAGCGGTAAGCCGTCATGACACCTCGGGTCGTCATTCTTCTCCGGTTCGTCCTCGCTCTCCTAGGGAACGCCGTCGTCAAGGATCTAGAATCCATTCTACCTGAAGGACTGTCCATTCACCTGTTCCACCTCGACGACCTCAGCGCTCTCCAACTAATGATCACATGGATTCTCCCTGTGTCTTTGAATCATCGCACAGACACTTCCTCTTTACCTGACTCAACTTTCAGGCGCATGTCTTGGTTGCTGGATCAGCCAGGACTCCTACACTACCTACTTCCTCACCGACTAGCGCTCCTTTTGGTCTGGATTCTGTCTCAAATCCACTGCACTCAGGGATCCACCGTCATCAGTCTCCTCTCCCTGAGATTATGATACCGCCGATCTGTCGGACATGTTTTCCTGGATTGCGGATCAACTGGGCCTCTCCCGTAGCTTCTTTAAGGACAGGCTCTCTGAGTTTGTGGTCTCCGGTCCCACTTCGAACTTTCTTACCCTGCCACCTAAGAAGGCCTTTACGGATAAGGGCATGAATCTGGATCTGGCTTTTGCTTCCTTCCAAAGCCATTGGCAACATCCACCTTTACCGAACCCCAGACCTTGACCTATTCACAATCCACTTCAAGAACCAGTTGCTTAAATTCATATCCCCCATACCAGATTAGCTAGAGTTGGAGCAGCTGCAACGGAGATGTTTACTCTAAGCATACACAGGAAAGAAGCGAGGTTTTTCCCACCTTTGCCCATAGAAGAGTTAGTCCAAAGTGCTATTACAGGTTCAACTAGTTCTGCATACTTGACAGTGAAGAGGAATTCTGTTGAAAATCTGAAAGTTTAGTTTAAGTTTGATTGCAGCTAAAATACAGGATTTATGGCGATGATGTGCCTCCTAAGGATGCTCCCCAAGGTGGAGTAGGCAAAGCCCAATTGGTCCAGTGTCATAAAAGTGGTGTATCTGCAGAGAGACCCATGTATGACTTTTGGGGGTTATGCATTGGTGTAGGACATGATAGACCCCGCTTCAGCCAAGTAGTATAAGGTGAATGACTGATTCCAAGTCCTTGAACTTTGTCATAGGAACACTCATCCTAGTCGAAGTTGATCTGATGAGATTGTAAAAGTCTTTGTTGATGGATGGTAGTTGAGAAAACAGAAATCTGTGTGTCATATTGGTGACCGCTCAATGGACAGTAACCGCAACTTATCATCCATTTTGGCACGGAGAAGATTGTCATTTGCATGACAGATGACTTTGGTTGTGCAAGATGGCCAGGCCACAACAAAGTATTGAAGATAGGTACTGTTGAGGGGGTGTCGACAAATCCTGTCTGTTCATGTCTGAGTGGAGGTGACTCCATCGGCTCATGAGGGGACCAAAGACTGGGGAGGTGGTAAAGTTCTTCTTAGAGAAGGAAGTGCAAAGTTCGCAACATTTCTCCTCTGTGCAGTTAACATCTTTGCACTTCCAACAAGAAGCACGAGGGTCCAGAGACATCCATCTTCACGGGGCAAGAGAGTTAACTGACTTTAAAAGTCCAGTTTCCACCCTTGCCGAAGTAGGCTGGAATTACTTGGCATGATCGTAGCGCCACCAGTGGCTATTACCAGTTATGTCCCTTCTAAGCCTCTCCTATGGACCAATCAGATTCCACCTCTCGTATCACTTGCGTTTGCTTCACAAAAAATGGTGGCGCCCAGTCAGGACGATCTGACCGATAATCAAGATCAAAATCACCTTGATTAAAAATATAAAAAGATTTGGAAAATATCTGCTGACAACTAGTTGTCAGTGCACATGCTTTGCAAATCCTGCAATCGATTGAAATCTGCCCGACAGTTTACGAACAGGATTTCGATTTCGGTGCGCGATTTTGATTGGACTATGCATAGACTTGTTAGTCCAGCCAAAATGTAACTCCATAATACCAGCCTAGTTCGGCAAGGGTGGAAACTGGACTTTTATAGCCAGTTAACTCTCTTGCCTCGGGAAGATGATAGACACCATGAAGCGCCACACTTATCACACTTAGACGGAGAAGAAGACAACACCATAGAGACTCACAACAAACACCAAACACCAACGTAATACTTACATAATACAAGCCCCAATAAACAGCCAAATAAATAATTTCTAGTTGTAGTAAATAGTAATAATAAACTACTTAAATAGAATTAGTGTGACTACATAACCATGTGCTAGAGCAGCTAAATGGTAGATGTTGATTCCAGCACACACAGGAAAGAAGTGAGGATTTTTCTGCCTTTGCTCACGGAAAAGCTGTAATCTGTTAGTGCTATTATGGAACAACTAATTATGTATAGTTGGCAGTGAAGAGGACTTTTGTTGAAAATCTGAAATTTTAGTTTTAGTGTCAAAGCAACCAAAATACAGGATTTATGGCAATGATGTAATAGATGTAGAGGATTCGTAAGAAATACATATCTTCTTTTAATACAAGTGATGCTGTTGCATTTTTATGTTACATGGAAACCTGCTTGTTTGTTCAGATGGACCGGAAAGTGACAACTTCATCCCTGCATGACATAGTTGTGTAAAGCACAAACTAAAGCTGAGATGGCCAGTTCACGTGATCTCACAAGTGTGTCCTTGATACAGGAGGAGGATGACCTTGAAGAGGAGACGATGGAGCTCATCACCTCAGAAGGTATTCCGCTGAACGCAGACTCAGGTACGTTTACCGTTTCATCTGACAAAGTACAAGTAACCTAGTTTCTTGACCTAGTTCAGTCAAGAACCTGAATCCAACAATATAGGGGCAATACTTCTAAGACAGACTGTCTTGCTCTGTTCCATTCATAACTGATTTATGAATCAAACTACAACCAAAGCCTAGCCACTGTTTGAAAAGTAATCATGCAGTGTTTGTATTTATTTGACAGGAGACAACATTTCATCCATTTTATTCCAAAATACAGGCCACTATGAAGGACTTTAACATTGGACAATAGATTATCTCATTCAGAATAATAATATTACTACAAGATTACATCATCATCATCATAATCTTAGTACTGCTGTGTTTTTAATGTCCATGCTTAACAAGGCTTACAAAGACATAACCACAGGGGTTTACTACCCATAAATTAGCAGCAACAAGCTATACATCCATAATACATGATTAACAATCCACGTTGTTGAGGTACAATGACAAGCTGTCAACCAAGTCCCCAGCTTGACCATTTAATCCATTTTGACCAGCATATAGGTTGCTGGGACCAATTCTAACCAGGAATCCCCGCTAGGGTAGGGTAGTTGTGATTTGAACACCATACAAAACATGAAAATTGAACACTTGGTATGTTAAGGCAACATCTTTTACACACATAATGTCTCCTGTAGAAGGTGTGCTACACAGGTTATTGCCTTGTTATTATTTGTAGATAATTTGTTAAATATTAATCAGTGTAAAGCTACTGTCATTGAAATGTGGTTGACAGGTGATGTCCCAAGAGCCGTCACTCTCGTCAAGACGCAGAACATATTCACTGGACCGACTGCTGCAGGAACAGTTGGTGAAGGTAAGTTTTAAAAAAAAAGGTACCCGGTATTGGTTCTCAGGCATTGCTGCATCATCAGAAAGTCCCCAGCAAATTTAGTTTTTATTTCCATTTTAAAAAGGAAAGAAATCCTAAAATATTCCTTTACCGTATTTTCTTGAGTATAGTGCGCACCCATGTATAATGCGCACCCCCCTCTAGCGGGTTCAATATTTTGGAGAAAAAAAAAATTTGAATATTATGCGCAGAAAGAATTTACACTGTTCCCTTTCAGCGAAGTCCGCCAAACGAACGGGTGATGAGAAACTTGTCAGTACAAATTCGAAATTTGAGATAAAAAAATCACCAGACATGTTTATTTACCATTTAAATAGTATTTATTGTTCTGCTAGGCATTGTTTTATATCTAGGGATTAAGATTACCTTGTGTATTTTCTCGTAAACTAAGCCGGAAACAGCAATCAGCTGTACACACGTTTTCTTGGAATCGACCGGTGATTCGGTCAAGACACACCCAATGATATAACTTTATAGGATTTTTAATGCAAGGATCGGCAACAATTGTATCTGAAACTATTTTTTTTATCAGGAATATTATATTCCATTATTTTCTTAATTATATGTAGCCTTTACTAAACATATTTAAAATAATAATAACCCTAAGCGAAGCAGCTGATCGCTATTCCCCGGGTATTATTTTTTACATGGAACCAGTCTGACCAGTCACCGTCAAGGCTCACGCGCGTGATCGCGAGAATTTCATGTTGTCATAGAATCGTCAAACAAAAACAAATATGACTTTTAACGAGTCAAAGTATGGCATTTATGATATATGTATCCATTCTCTGTCAACTAAAGTTTGTTTCAAGGCGTCAATAGCGGTATTCTGACCGTGGTTGCTGTTAATAACGGTGAGTTGTGCGATCTTCCAATCGCTTCACACACGATTTCGCCGAAATTAATAAAAACAATATTAAAAGGAATTTTGAATAAAATTAATGAAATAAGTTACAAACATAAGTCCAGATATACAAAGAACACTTTTTATAGCCAGACAGTGTAATTACATGAATATTTTGCGTACTTCAGTATGGATTTGTTGATATGGTATTTCCGGTGTTTCATGCTCACGGTAATGTCTTTCCACGGGGGAAAAAAACATCCAAACTCATAATTCGTGTATAATGCGCACCCCCTTCTACACAGCTGTGTTTTTTGGAAAAAAAAGTGCGCACTATACTCAAGAAAATACGGTACATGCGCACTGCTTTAGAGCGTATCTCATGTCATAGCCATAGTGGCAATAGGAGTTGCGTGCTTGTTTTGCCGTTTGCAAATTTGGTCAATGAAAACCTTGAAATTTACAATAAAATATCACAAGACATGATTTACAAATTCAATGGTATTTGTGATCTGCATGCCGGACAATGTTTCATATGCACAGATTAAGATTAAAAGTGTATTTTTCTCGTAAAATAAGCTGGAAATAGCAATCAATAACTATATTTTCCAAAACCATTGCCTGAAATCCAGTTCTTTTATTTTGTTACGCCTAAGTAACATAAGCCATGTCAATGCCTCAACAGGTTTAAAGAAAGCACAAGTGCTGGTCATGCATATGGCCATTTAGCAAACATTTCTGTCAGCATTGATATAAACAAAACTCTTCACAGTCAAAATAAATACTGAGGAACGAAAACTTGTTCAAAAGTCAACAAAATATGATGCCATCATAAGAAAGAACATACATGTCACGTTCAGCTTCGATCCTCAGTGTGGCAATTTCAGAGAAGACATTTACAGAGCAAATACACTGGAAATAGGTTTCAAAACACCAGAGCTTTAGCATTGTAACATCATGTCACAAATAAATCTTGTAATGATGACTGTTTTTGTTTGCAGCTACCCTTGACCTTCAAATAGATAATGCTGAAGAAATCTTTGTTGAAACGGAGAGCTTCAGGACTGTAAAACAAAAATTAAAGGATCTTGGCCATGTCACCATCTGTGGTGCTTCAGGAGAAGGCAAAACTACAACAGCTCTTGTGCTGGGTTCACAGTATAGACAAAGGGGTTACAAGCTTGCATTTGTGGACAGAATTGAAAAGTTGGACTTGGACAGCCTCTTGAGTTCATCACCTAGAGTATTTCTTATCATTGATGATATGTTTGGTACTGTTGGACTATCTACAGATGTTTCACAGCTGAAAACATTCCTCAATAAGCTTGATCAACACTTAAAACACTGCAAAAGGCTACAAAAACAGCAAGCTAAAAAAGGAGTTGAACACGAAATTGAAACAAGTAGAGGTCCTGTCCGAAAACAACAGCCAACAAAGGATATTCGTGTTGTCTTCACATCCAAGACATACAACTTCCATGATGGACTTGCTAAGCTGCAGTATGAAGGATTCTCCCTGTTCAAGGGACCAACACTGGTGGATTTAACAACTCAAGAGAAACACAGATATACTCATGCAGAGAAGAAGGCTATATTTGAGCACCACAGGAAAATACATAAAGAATATTCTGATGAAGAGTGTGAAGATATTCCTGACTTTGAACTGTGGGATACAGATTCAAATATGTTTGGATTTCCTCTCATTTGTAAACTTTATTTTGAATTTTCAATCTTTCACCATAATAAAATGGACTTTTTCAAGAAACCACTCTCTTATCTCAGGCTGGAACTCAAAAACATGCTTGAGACAAATAGTGATCGCTCCGCCATTCTGGTTCTGATGCTACTGTGTGATGGCAAGTTAAATTTGGCCAAATTGGAAGCAGACGGCAAGGACCAGAAACTGGACAACATGGTCAGAACTGTTTTAAAGTTGATGCCATCAGCATCACGTTTAGGAATGTACAAAGAAGCAAAGTGTCTTAGAGGAACATATTTTACACGTGGTGATGCTATTGGATTTGCCCATTCTTCCATATATGATGCTTTTGCTTGTTCGTTGTATGACATCAGTCCAACATTTGTGCTGACTCACTGCAGTGACAACTTCATATATGAGCGAGTCCAACCACAACAAGTAGAGGAAACCAAAATCGATGATCATCTCCACCTGATATATGTCTCAGAACAGTATTATGATATCCTGACTACCAGACTTGCAGAATCAATAAGGCATGGGCGGTTTTCAAAATCAGTGACACACCCCATCCTCCAACACGAAAAGGTATCTCTTCAGTTGCTTGAAAAGCTACAACCTGATGGATCCATGGATGACTGTTGGTTCCACAAGGAGGATAAGGGGAAATGCTTTTTGTCTTGGGCTGTTCTGGGACACAGTCCAAGGTTTGTCCAAGAAATAGAATACAGAACTGGAGGAGAATTTACTCAAACAGAGATCAGTGACTCCATGGAATATTGTGTCATCAACAACAACCTGACAGTTTTGAAGTGGCTTTTAAACAGAAGTGAAAATCCAGACATTGATGTAATGAACAGATGGCTTTTGCTGGCTGCACGACATAGGAGTTCTGAAACACTTGTTTATCTAATAGAAAATGGTGCTGATGTGTTTACTACTGATGCAGACAAGAGAAACATCATACACTTAGCATGCATGACAGAGCAGGAGAAAACACTGAAGGTATTGAAAGAACACAGCATCAAACTCTTTGATGATGAAAAGAAGAAAGTTGTAATCAACTCTATTGATGGTGAAGGGAGGACTCCACTCATGATTGCAGCAATCAGGGGATCTCATGAGTGCTATCAGCTATTGCAATCAATATCTGACAAGAAAACCAAAGACAAGAATGAAGATGACATAATTCACATGGCCTGTTATGGTGGTAACAAGGCTATAGTAAAACACCTTCTGTCACCTTCAAATATCAATACTAGAGATCAGGAAGGATGGACTCCAATAATGATAGCAGCTCACTGTGGGCATCAAAATGTGTTTGACCTCCTGGTCTCAGAGGAAGCTAACCTGAAAGTGCATGACACTAATGGTGATAGTTTACTTCATCTTGCCTGTCAGGGTGGTAACAAGGCTATAGTACAACATCTTGTGTCACCTTCTAATATCGACACTAGAGGACAGAATAGATGTACACCAGTTATGGCAGCAGCTATTTGTGGACACCAAAGTGTGTTTGACCTCCTAGTAACTAAGGATGCTAACCTTACACTGGTGGACAAATTTGGCCATACTTTAGTTCATCTTGCCTGTCGGGGTGGTAACATGGCTATAGTAAAACATCTTGTGTCACCTTCTAATATCAATACTAGAGGACAGAATGGATGTACTCCGGTAATGATAGCAGCTGCTTTTGGACAACAAAGTGTGTTTGACTTCTTAGTTGCAAACCATGCTGATCTGAAAGTGACTGACAATAGAGGTGATACTTTACTTCATGCTGCCTGTCAGGGTGGCAACAAGACTATAGTACAACATCTTGTGTCACCTTCTAATATCAATACTAGGGGACAGAATGAATATACACCAATAATGATAGCAGCTGTCTTTGGACATCAAAATGTGTTTGACTTTCTCATATCGAGGAATGCAGACCTGACACACTGGATAGCCATCATAATAGTTCACTTCATTTTGCCTGACATTCCGTCAAGACAGCAATAGTACAATAACTGTGTCACCTGCTAACACTGGTCAGCCGTCATAATAGTCAAACAAAACAAAATATTTTGCAGTCAAACAAATAAAAACATACTGCAATCAAACAAAACCGCTGTTGCTACTCCTTCTCACAGCGACACCATATCACACCTCAGGCCGTCGATTACGGTATCCTGTAGTGCAACCAACTCTAAAGCACAGCATTTCATGGCTTGCAGTTGTTGTTAAAGACAGTAATAGTACAGTAACTGTGTCACCTGCTAACACTGGATAGCCATCATAATAGTTCACAACACTTTGTACATACTCCATTAACAACGTCAACATCCTTAGATCTACAAACTATATTTTGTTATACAAGTTAAGTATATGTAGCAGAATGTAAAATAGTATGTAGTTTAACTTACATATTTTAAACTTAGGTAAATAATTGAGTTAAGTATGGTAATAGGTCCTTAAACTAACCTGAACACTCTCTACTAATCCTTAGGTAAAGTACAGGGTATAGTTATGTAAGGTCTTTAGTGATCTGGTCCAGCCACAGCTTGGCCAGTGATTGCCTTTTCTGTTGTTTCTGTAGCATGTGACCAGGTTTTTAGCTTTAAACATGTTAAACACTTCAATATTTCTCTTCTCTGGTTACTGCTGCATTACAACTCTGCATGACTCACAGCACTGCACTGATTGGGGTAAGTTAATTTAGACTTCTTTAGTATTTATATTCATCATAAGGAGGTTAGGATCTGATATTTTAGTCTTGTTGAGTACACTTTTATCATTTTAATTGCATATTTCTTATATTGTAGAATTTGCAGTATGATCCACATGACACGCAATGTTGTAAATATATTACTTATTCTTACTAAGCTATAAATGTAATAATATATTGTACAGTATTTTAGTACACTAAGTCTTGTATGAGTTAGTTGATGATTATGTACATAGTTCTATGAAAGTATTAGTAGATATGTACTGATGTAGTGCATATAAATATTAGGTTTATATTACTGTGTGTGTGTGTGTATGTGTGAGAGAGAGACAGCATGTCTGTGTGCATATTATATACATTTTACTTAATTGTGTCATTTCATTATTAGGCATAGAGGCGCATATAAAGCCATACTGTTGGCACTGATGTGATGAGCCTGCGTCCCTGAGACGAGGTTGGTATTTATGTGCTAATATTTGTATGTATATATTGTTATATTTTCATGTGTATTGTATCATATAAATGGGATTTGTAGCTGTAATGTATATATACGGCTGATGGTTTTTCTGATAATAAATGCTAAAATTCATGCTCATGGTATCAAGTAAATGTAGTATGTTTGTTTAATTACACATGTTATAGATTCTTGTAATTGTATATTACTAATCCAACCTTATTAAATTATGTTTTAGGGAATTATCATCCATAGCCATATTGTGGTGGGATCTCCATATCCCTGATATGAACAGACCGAATAAATCCCATGAACCCTCAAACAAGTATTCGTCATCATTACCTAGACAAAAAAATACTGCTGTAACAATTGCATCCCTGGTGGGATATAACAGTCTGTCTGAAGGAGAAGCCCAGGATGAACCCCAACAGTGACAGAGCGTTCAAGAATGTCCCATGTTCATGACTAAAACGTATCTGAGGTAGATTGTGACTCCCATTGACTTTATGTGTGATATGTGTCCCGTGGGATATGACTCTGTGATTGACTTGGCATGTACTCAAAGTGATATTTGAGCATACATTTCATCTTCGACTTTTTTTATAAACTGAGAAAAGTGCACTTAGTAACCTTCATTCTATAAACATGTAATCATCAGCTGAGATTGTTTCGGAAGAATTCACATTGGTGATTTATATAAGTCCATGTTAGTATACAACTATGTATGTGATGTTCACATCTAGTAGTTGTGCGGAATACATGTTTGTTCTGTGATTGACCAGTCTGCGACTGGGTTTAGTATTTACAGCACTTTGTATTGCCTGCTGTCTTCATACTTTGCTAGCATATACTATTACCTGTCATGTTAGACTAGTTAGTTTAGATTAATTAGTTTACATGTTAGTTAGTCTTGATTAGTTCCTCATTGTCTTAACTGGTATGTATTAACATGTAAAGTTATTCTTGTTTAGTTTAGTTTAGTTTAAGCCAGTTCAATTGTTGAATTTGATCAAAAGTTGTAATCTGGCATACTCCTTAAAAGCGTTTATTGCCCAGTTAGTTCCAATAATAATTTCTGTTCAGCTATAAATGTAATAATATATTGTACAGTTTTTTAGTACACTAAGTCTTGTATGAGTTAGTTGATGATTATGTACATAGTTCTATGAAAGTATTAGTAGATATGTACTGATGTAGTGCATATAAATATTAGGTTTATATTACTGTGTGTGTGTGTGTGTATGTGTGAGAGAGAGACAGCATGTCTGTGTGCGTATTATATACATTTTACTTAATTGTGTCATTTCATTATTAGGCATAGAGGCACATATAAAGCCATACTGTTGGCACTGATGTGATGAGCCTGCGTCCCTGAGACGAGGTTGGTATTTATGTGCTAATATTTGTATGTATATATTGTTATATTTTCATGTGGATTGTATCATATAAATGGGATTTGTAGCTGTAATATATATATACGGCTGATGGTTGTTCTGATAATAAATGCTTAAATTCATGCTCATGGTAACAAGTAAATGTAGTATGTTTGTTTAATTACACATGTTATAGATTCTTGTAATTGTATATTACTAATCCAACCTTATTAAATTATGTTTTAGGGAATTATCATCCATAGCCTTATTGTGGTGGGATGTCCATATCCCTGATATGAACAGACCGAATAAATCCCATGAACCCTCAAACAAGTATTCGTCATCATTACCTAGATTAAATACCGCTGTAACATATATAACCACTACAACACTTTGTACATACTCGATTAACGTCATCATCCTTAGACCAACAAACTATATTGTTATACAAGTTCAGTATATAACCACTACAACACTTTGTACATACTCCATTAACAACGTCAATATCCTTAGACCTACAAACTATATTGTTATACAAGTTCAGTATATAACCACTACAACACTTTGTACATACTCCATTAACATCATCATCCTTAGACCTACAAACTATATTGTTATACAAGTTCAGTATAAACCACTACAACACTTTGTACATACTCCATTAACATCATCATCCTTAGACCTACAAACTATATTGTTCTACAAGTTCAGTATAAACCACTACAACACTTTGTACATACTCCATTAACATCATCATCCTTAGACCTACAAACTATATTGTTCTACAAGTTCAGTATATAACCACTACAACACTTTGTATATACTCCATTAACATCATCATCCTTAGACCAACAAACTATATTGTTCTACAAGTTCAGTATAAACCACTACAACACTTTGTACATACTCCATTAACATCATCATCCTTAGACCAACAAACTATATTGTTCTACAAGTTCAGTATATAACCACTACAACACTTTGTACATACTCCATTAACATCATCATCCTTAGACCAACAAACTATATTGTTATACAAGTTCAGTATATAACCACTACAACACTTTGTATATACTCCATTAACAACGTCAATATCCTTAGACCTACAAACTATATTGTTCTACAAGTTCAGTATATAACCACTACAACACTTTGTACATACTCCATTAACATCATCATCCTTAGACCAACAAACTATATTGTTATACAAGTTCAGTATATAACCACTACAACACTTTGTATATACTCCATTAACAACGTCAATATCCTTAGAACTACAAATCTGGAGTATCATTACGCTGTCGTAAGCCGTTTAGTTGATAACCATGCTCAGACCAGTGATGTACAGGACAGTCCCACATCTGGAAGACCTCCTGTGACGACACATGGCAAAGCCAGGGACCTTCTTCGACTCATACGCCGAGAACCCTTTTGAACAAGTACTCAGCTGAAACAGCTGTGGTTGCCCAATCGTCGTTTCAGCACCAGAACCGTCAGGAAGCGGCTGAAAGCAGGAGGACTGAGGGCTAGACGAGTCATAAGGCGTCCCTTGTTGAGAGATCACCACAAAGCTACTCATTTAGCATGGTGTATTGCGCGAAAGAACTGGATTCTGAGAACTTGGAGACGGATCCACTGGTCAGACGAAAGTCGCTTTCTGCTCCATGTCACTGATGGAAGATCAAGTTTGGAGTCACCGGAACACGGACTACACCCCCGGGAACACTAAGCCGACTATTGCATACAGCGATGCTCAGTAATGGTTTTGGGGTGTATCTCTCATGATTGCAGGTTGGATTTGGTCACCATAAGGGGCAGCTTAACAGGTGCTCAGTACATCCAGGATGTCGATGATAGCATGTATAACATAAAATATTCACATAGAAAAAAATCACACCCCTCTATATACGTAGAAACAAGGAGTGACACCTGCCATCTTGGTTCTTGTTCAAGATTTCACACTCGGTTCGAATCACAGCTCGATATCGCATGAAATATGAAGGTAGGGATAATCTGCTTCAAAATGTTTAACTATGCTGTAGATTTCCTTGTCAATCCCAACATTTTGCAAGCAGGCCTACCATTGACGGTTTTGAATTTCCCTCCTTTCACTGTGTGCTAATATTTCGATCCTTTATTTTTTTTTTTAGCCAATCAGAAACATTTGGCAAGTTCAAGCCCATGTAGTGCCGTTATTTCCGGCCACCTTTTTCTTGTTTACCTCGGCGGTGAAGCTTAGGGTTGAGATTTAATGGTTATTTTAAAATAAAAACGAGGTATCTTGGTCTCATGGAATGGACCAACCATCGCACAAAGTCCTGTGGGATATTTGTCCATATCTGCTGGAGCATGTTCGAAGGTCCTGGAGTGACTGTGGAACACGTGGTTGATGTCAAAGGCGCGGATCCATCTCATCCCAAATGTGCTCGATTGGTGAGAGATCAGGGGAGTGAGCCGGCCAGGGGATGACATTCACGTTGTTTTGTTGAAGAGAATCCTGAACAAGTCGAACAATATGAGGCCAGGTGTTGTCATGTTGAAAGGTAAATGCCTGGGCCATGACGATGCAAAAA